TGAGGCTTGTGTGGAGCATCGCACAGCCCAGTGTTGGTCTTTGCCCAGCACTGTTCTAATATACAGAATTTGCAAACATCTAAGAGTTGAGATTGTCACAAGATTTGAGCCATTTGCAAACTAAAATTTGAAGGCAACTTAAAAGAAGTTCCACTGGCAGAACAAGATGCCGCTACAAAAATTTGATGGGAAAAGGCCAAGCAGAGGTGACGCCGTTAGTGTCAGGAGGGCTGATCCAGACTGAGTCAGAATCCTCAGGTTTGGGTTCTGTCTTCACCACTGGGGTGACTGCACCAATCCCTCAGCCTCACATCCCTTAACCACAGAGTCAGATCAATGGCCTTGCAGGTGATTTGAAGGTTGACTGAGACTACAGTAAGTGCTCTGGGTGGGAGGGAAAGCTTGGGAATTGCTCTTAGTTTTATTTAATACCTGCAAAGATATCTGTTTAAATGTTTGCAGGGATGGCTCCTTCTCTCTTGCCCAGTACCCTCTCTCTAAAGAAATGCATACAAAATCAATTTTTGTGTCTATATCCAGTTTCTTCCCCTATAGACCCATAGAGCAGTTTACAAAGAAATGGAAACCCAGCCCCAGCTCTAAATTGATTTGGCTACATTTGATACACTATTCCTTCCTAGAATATGACTTTTCAGCTGTAATAGCCCAAAAGATTGCTTTTCACACCTCTTTCGTTTTTATGATCCCTTTCAAAGACTTCTTATGTTGTTCACAGTAGAACTGGCGCCCAGGTTTCTGCAGTTTCAGAAGTAACCACGCCAGAAGTGTCAAGACCTCATCATGAGACAGAGGGCCTGATGCATTTCTTTGTATGGGAAGACAAGGGCGATCCCAATACCTGTTACACAGGTGGATTTGGGTTCAGAGAAAAGAAAAATAGGGAATCCTGGATTCACAAGAGGAAAAGCAGCTGGAAATGAGATGCTGATACCTAAGAGGGAAAGGGAGGTGCAGGCTCAGAGCACCCAGTGCTGTAGGCATCAGAGGCGAGGGTGGAGACTGCTAGGACAAGGACCACAGGCTGGGCAGGGACCACAGGCTAGGGCTGTCTGGCTGGGCTGTCCAGACCCCAGTGTTCAGGCATTAACCTCATTCCGTGAGTCAATTGTATATGTGAATTGGGGTTCTTGAGAGAAGTGGCCTCTGTAGGCAGGGTGGTTGGCATCCCTGTTATGCACAAGTTAGAAGTGCCTAAGCACTTTGAAAGTCTGTGTTCTGCAGGAAAACAGAACCAATAGAAAACATTAATCTGTATGTCCATTCACTCACTCATCCATTGATCTACCCACCCAGCAATACATCCATTAATTCATCCACCCATCCATCCATCCATCCATTCATCTACCCACCCAGTGACGTATGCACCCATCCATTCACTACCTATGCAGCAATCCATCCATCCATCCACCTACCCAACTGTCCATTCATCTACCCACCCAGCAATCCATCCATCCATCTATCCATCCACCCACCCATCCACCCATCATCTGCGTCTCCTAGAGACCCATGACAATCAGTGCTTTAGTTCTAGTCAAAGTGCAGAAGTTTAAGGCCCAGGAGAGCCAGGGTGCAAGTCCTGAGCTGAGTCTTGATCCAAAAGCAGAGGACCAGTGTTCCAGCTTAAAGACTAGCAGCTATGGAGAATAAACACTTTCCTATTCCTCTCTTTGTTTTGTCCATGCCTGTAACACTGAAAGAGACCACCCCACACTAAGAGGGCACACAATGCCATTCTGCTTGATCTCTAGTCTCAGGTTGAAATCACCCAGAAAAGTGACACATCAATCCCTGTACATGGGGACTAATATCTGGGCACCTATATCCCAGTCAAGGTTTTGCCTGAGTGTGTCTTGAGTACATACATTGTACTCTAGAGTGACTATAATAGGAACAACCAGGGGCAGCTGCTGCTGAGGACTGTTTGAAATGAGCACTCCCAATCCTCCTCCAACTCCTCCCAAGAGCAAACATGTCAGAAACCATTCTGGGAACTCCCTCTTCCCTCCAGGCTGTGACCACTTAGTTCCAAAGCATTGGCAGAATTTGACGGATGGGAAGGGAATGTGTTGGGGTTTTAAGAAAGCAGATTCTTGAGAGGCGATTTGAGTGGGCCTGTACACGAGTTATGTTCCATGCCTCCTAATACCTACATCAGCCCACTCCTTAATGGGCCTGTTATCAGACGGGCTGATCATCATCATCATGGAAGGACACGAAGAAAAGGCTCTGCAGAAAAATGGCCTGGGCTGGCAATTGATCCACCAAGGGATAATTTGAAACAAAGACTCTGAAATCTAGCAGGCCTAGAAAATTACTACCTTGCTCAATGGGATTAGTTGTCCAAATGAAGAATATTTTCTTCTTGTGCCATCCTGCCTTCTGATGGTTCTTTACACTGCACCTCTTCTGTACCTGTGGCTGGATCCCTGGCCAGCAACACTGCAGACTGTCAGCTCCGCACCAGGCTTAGGAATATGGCCATGGTTAGCTGTGGTTGAATGGAAGCAGAGGGCTGCTGGGGCTGTGTCTTACAGAGTCCCTCATGAGGAAGGTCTCTCGTCTTCCTGTTGTAATTTTCATGACGCTCTCATCATTTTTTGATTAGCCCAGTGATTTTCCTGATAGGTTAGGTCGTCTTGTCTGATGGATCTTCAGCCCTCCCTTGACTAGTCTCGTCTTCTCTGGAGGAGAACGGCTTTGTGGCCAAAGACAGGGTGTGGCCAGCTGGGGGAACTCCAAAGTCAGCAGTGCTGATGTTTGGTAGCAGGGGTAACAGACTAAAAATATATATTGGGGGAGCATAGATGCCCCAGGCAGCATGAACCTACCCTGACCCTGTGTTGAAGAATAGCACTAAGACATTTGGGTTGTAGAAAACTGAGGAGCTGGGTGTGGTGGTGCATACATTTGATCCCAGCACTCTGGAGGCAGAAGCAGGCAAATCTCTGTGAGTTTGAGGCCAGCCAGAGCTACAGTGTTTCCTGGAAAGGAAAAAAAGTGGAAGCAAAAAGATTAAGGATCATAGTCTATAGGAAAGTGAGAGAAGAGTGCTGCAGGAAAGGATGTCATACCTGTCTGTAACCTGCATGCGCTCCTGGCCACTGGTGGTCCTGCTTCTCATGGGGAGGGATGGGTCTAGCAGAATAGTTGGCACATCCATGCATATAAGCAAACACCACCCTTTACTCATCCACCCATTCATGTATCTACCCATCTATTCATCCACTCATATGTTTATCCATTTATAAACCTATCTATCAATCTATCCATCCACAGATCTATTCATCTATCCATCTCCTCATCCATCCATCCTCTCATTTATTATGTCCCTCCATTTGCACCTCTACCTACCTACCCATCCATCTGTTGACCTGTCCATCCACCTACTTAATGTATCCGTCCATCCATTTGCCCACACACACACCTAACCACCCATCTGCACATCTACCTGGCCCATCATCTTTCACTAATGTGCTTGTGGAAGTTGTCACACACAGTGCTGGATGCTGAGGAGATGAGGGAGGTGAGTCTCCTGCTTAGGCTTTCACAGACCAGAAAAGGATGCAGATAAGTATTCTAACGGTTCTAGTTACATTGAGGAAAACCTTGAGGGGTGAGCCCAGGCTACCTCGATGGGAAGAGGGGCTTCCTGTATATATTTTGAGAATGCTTGCATTGTGAGAAATGTCTTTCCCTCAGTCAAGGGTGTAGCAAGACCTCCCTTCTGTTTCAGTAAGAGATAAGTATCTCCTGTACCCCTGTTCCCTAGCAGTTTGCTGGAATGTCCCCCTCAGCTATCCTCAGCTACACCTTCCTATTCTCCACTGTGTTTCTTTGTTGTGTGAAGATTCTTAGATCCAGGCTGTGTCACAGTGTCCTCTGCCTTTAGCCATGAATGCTCTTGACCTGCACCCATGATGTCCATTCCTTTCTGGCTGGTGTCCACTGTCTTAAGGACTCAGCTGGAGGCCTTCTGGAGGCTCCTCCACCCTCCGCATGCCCTTCTGTGGCTCCCGCTGTCACACATGTACCCCATTCTCTAAAATTAGGAGAGACTAACTCCATCAGGATGACCCACTGTGGGAATGTGTGTCCTTCCAGGCCGAAGGAAGTTAGGACTCCCTTTACCCCAGAAGTACCTGATGACCCACCTTCCCTAAATGTGCAAACCGTGAAGCAATCATGTGACAACTTTCCAGTACCCTCGTTGGGACAGGACTATTGGTACCCGAACAGTGCCTTCTTGCTGTGATGTAGTTTCCCGCGTGCTCATACGTTAAGGGGTAGAAATGGGTATGCTGCCCCCACTACTGCCTCCCTTCTTAGTTGTCCTCTCCCTCCACCATTCCTGTTCATCTCTGCACAGAGGGAACTCTGACAGTGAGTTTTGGACAATGCTGACACCGCTGTGTCTCCCATGCTGAGAGGCTTTTAGCACAGTGACCCCGAAGGCGGGTGTCGAGGGAGGGTGAGTCTCACACAAGCACACAGGGGTGTCACCGACAGTTGAGGACCTTTAGCAGAGGAGTGGCTACCTCATGAGCTAGCATCCAGGCAGCATCTGAAAGCGGGTGAGTTTCTAGGAGCCCCGGGACTGTGTGCTGTCCTCTTAAATCTGAGAAGTGGTACCAGCGGACTGTACTGATAGTTGAAGATGGGCACACCAAACTCATCTCCATGGAGTTATCCATACTGGTTCCCAATATCCGCTCAGTGAGGATTTTTGCATTGGCTTTCCTTGTTTTATAGTAGATGTCGGTTGAGAGCTTGGGTATTTCTGTGCCTCCCCATTAAGGGCACATTTGGGACATTATGCAGATAGAAGCTGCATCTTCCTTATTCTTGCCTATCCTAAGCAATGGAACGCAAGCTAACAGGTTGGGATTCTTAGTGTTGTTCATAAGGATGGAGTGGCTCAAGGCACAGGAATACAGTTCCTGGAGAAGTATTCAAGGCACTTTCTCTCTGTGTCAATGTAGGGTTCGATGACGTTGACGTGTGTGGTGACCCAGGCGTTCCAGAGAATGGCTTCAGGACCCCCAGTGGAGGAGTTTTCTTCGAAAATGCTGTAGCCCGATTTCACTGCCAAGACGGATTCAAGCTGAAGGGCTCTACAAAGAGACTGTGTGTGAAATACCTTAATGGGACCCTAGGCTGGGTCCCAAGTGACAAGCCTGTCTGCATACAAGAAGGTAAAGAGCCTGCCCCTCCATGGGAGCCAGAGGTGGGACTCTTGGGGATGAGGGCAGTGGATACTCTAGAGGCATCTTTCCCAGGGCTGGTGGTCTAGTCTACAAGATGAGTTTGCACGGTCCTCTTTCTCTGTCAGTCACCATCCGGTGTATCACCGTTTTGGCTAGAGCAAGAGAGCACTGAGATCACACAGGGCACATTGAGATCAGGCTGCCAGCTCAGCGCTCACTCTCAGTGAAGAGTGCAGAAGCTGATCGTACAAAAGGTGGGCTGGGACTCAGAATCAAGTCAGCTACTGCTTTTAAGCCCAGTGTGTGGTGTGACTTGTTCACGAAGGAGTTACGACGGGGACAGCCCTTTCTAGCAGTGACCCCTGAATCCATTGTTGCTGCAGAGTGCTCCCTGGCTTCTGGCGGCTCGCCTGTGGCTGCTGGCTGCAACACTCTCATATGCTCTTATGCTCCATCTCACTTTGTTTTATTTTTGCTCTGTAGACAATGTTTAGAGCTATGAAAAATGAATTGCTTAATTAATTGGAACGCTAGGAGATTGATTATGACTCTCCCAGGATCGGCGAGGCTGAAGTTGGAATAGGCACGGATCGGAAATTAGCTCAAACCTGTAACCTCCAGGAGGCACAGGCCTGCCCTGCTTCCTGCTCCACTAATGTCTGAGCTCGTTAGGAGCCGGCTTCCGTTTCTCTTTGGGAGCAAGATTTTATGATAATGTGGGAAGAATCACTGTGATGTAATAATGTGTACTTTCTTACTGAAACTTTAAAAAAAAAATTACACTGTGCATATGTGTCTGTGGGTGAGGATGCTTCTGTGAGAGCAAATGCCTGTGGAGGCTGGAGGTGTTGGGTGCCCTGAAGCTGGAGTCACAGGCCAACCCACCAGCATGGGTGCAGGGAACTGAACTCAGCCCTCCATGAGCAGTGCGTGCCTCTTGCCCACTGAGTCGTCTCTCCAGCCCCGCTTTATGAAACTTTTAAACTGAGTTAATCTGACAAGCACTTTTTATTACACCTTTTCTTATGGAAATTGCAAAGGATGAACAAGTAGGAAGTCTTGCCCTTAAAGTCTTCACTAATAAATTCACTGTTCCCTCTTGCGTGGATCCTATGTGAGCTGTGCTCTGTAGAATTCTATTAAACTAGAGGTTTATTTGGTTCATGTCTGCACTCCCTGCCAAAGCCCGTGGCCTGAGAAGCCCTGTGCCCAGGGGCATGAGATGACAAAGTAAAAGAGAAGAAAGGCCCAAAATGTTGCCCGGAAATGAAGGCCTTCTCTTGTTTCATCTTCTTGGGGCAAAACAAAAGCAGCTTAGCATCTTTAAAGTGAGTGCCAGCCCTGTGTGCTGTAGAGATGATTCCAGGTGTTGAGCAATCTCCTTGGCTGGGGGCTTCTTGTGTGCCAAGACACACAGAGAAGGCACCGTGTGAAGTGCTGGCATGTGTCCAGACTCAGCACTCCCATCCTGCCACCTGAAACCGGACCTTGACACTAAATGGCGGTCCAGATCTGTATTCTGGTGTTGTGTTAGGCTGTGTTTGTGAAAACTTGGAAGAGCAGACCGCCAGCTTACTTACAGTGGCACCACTGATCCTAGGGAAGTTGGCCTGCAGAGGTGGCTGTTGTGTCTCAATGGTGGACAAGGTTATTGTTGATGTCTTTGGTGTTCTTTATTTTTTTTGATTTGAACCCAGGACCTTGGGCATGCTAGGTTAGCTCTCTACCACTGAGTTATCTGCCTGGCCCTTTCTTCTTCACAGTTCATAGGGAAGGTCGGGAGTGGGGTCTACACCATGAAGATTTTTTTTCCTACTTTGTAAATAACTGTAGCTGAGTGCTTCACATTTACGCTGAGTGGTTAATAAGAGTTGTTAGATTAATTTGCTGCCCTTGCAGGAAGGCTGAGAAAATTTTGAAATGGAGCTAATGGAGGTTTATTTCAGACTCTTTGGCACCCTATGAAATGAGATTTATGTTCTCATTTTCTGTTTGGGTGGCTGAGACTCAGAGAGGCTCATTCACTTCCTCAAGGTCACACAGTTTATGAGAAAGTAACAGAACTGAAGGTAATCTTAATGTTATGGGAACCCTTAGGGATTGCTTCAGCTCTACTGAAAACCAGCAAGACAGAAGTGGTGGAGAAACAGGCTTGCTGAAGGACAGCCCTAAGGGCAATTAAGGCAGCATCTCCGTCCTCCAGGCTCACAGTTGCAGAGAGCTGCTCTGGGGCCCAAGAGGATACAGTTTGACAGGAGTGAAACCCCTCAACTCTGTAGGGGCTCTCTTCCTGAAAGTCCTTCTGGATATGGAACAGCATCGGTATCTTATTTTAGGTCAGCCAGTCCGTATGTCCATGCAGAGAGGGGAGGGCCTCAGAGAATATCAGAGGGGAGGAGGGAGGGGCTGGTGGGTACAGTGCCTGTTCTCCCAAATAATAATGTACTTTGTAAGTTTGCTGTTCTAGACATTTATCTACGCTTCCACATTTTGCAGTGTAAACATGGCTTCTACCTGCCCTGTCACACTAAGCCAGGATGCTTTTCCTCAACAGGGTTGTGATTGACTTTTACTATGTTGAAAAAGCCCACTCTTACAGGGCATAAGAGCAGCACACTGTGACAGCAACTCCAGGTTGGAGTTGAAGGAACTCATGGGGTCTCCTAATTTAAGCACTGTGTGGCAGACAGAGACACTGAGCCTCTGAGAAGGAAAGAGTTCCCTGGCTTTCCATTTGGTTTAATGACAGATGGACCAGATCAGGCCAGCCTGGGGGTTGGGGGGCTCATCACTGTGACCCCCACTGCTGTCTGAGTCCTTCACCCTGCTTGCCAGCTCTGTCTGAGAAGCAAACATTTGTTTGTTTGAGACAGTGTCTCCTGCATCCCAGGCTGGCCTGGAATTTGCTATGTAGCCAGGATATCCTTGAACTTCTGGTCCTTTTGCCTCCACCCCAGAAGTGCTGGGAGCACAAACATGCACCACCACATCTGGGCTGAGAAGCAGACTCTAAACCGTTGAGCCTCCTTGACTCCCTCCCGGTGCCCACCAGCTGTGCCGTGGGCACAGAAGTGTTTGCAGAAGTGTTTGCAGAAGTGTTGGCGGGATGAGCTGTACAACAAACTAGGCAAAAATGCTCTCGGGTGGTTCCTGGGATCCCCATCTCTTTACTCTGTACCCTACGGTGCACCAGCTTTTTTCCCACATCCCAGTCCAAACTGCTTGTCTCAGGGAAGGTCAGTGTCAGCCAGGTCCCGCATGGCTGACTTACCAGGAATGGGCTCTTCCCAATATCCAAATCTCCCACTTGAGAAGTATGGGTGTTTTCTCTGTGCCATCATCCAGGGGTCACTCTAGCTGAGTGAAAGCACCCAGTGGCCTGGAAATTCTGGAACTGGCCAAAGATAGAGAGTGCTTCTGGTAGGCAGAGCATTACAGACCTGTGATGTCAGGGTTCCAGCTACCAGCAGGGCCTGTACTTTGGCAAAACCACCCAGCTAGGTCTAACTGGGAGCACTTTCCTGGGGGTAACACCCTTTTCTGTGAAGAAGGGGTAAAGCAAGATTAACCTTCTTCGAACTGAATTTCTAGACACTGGCCGAACACAAGTGTTAAGGCAGGGACAGACAGACAGTCAGCTCTGGGCTGACTCTCATTTTGGTGTGCATGCTGTGGTAGGTGGATAGAAAGTTTCAGAAGTGTATTTTTAAAGTAAAATACCCCAGAAACTGAAATAAAGTCGCCTGGGTTCCTCTCCATGCTATGAACAAGTGGACAAGAGAAGGGGGAAGCCCCTCCTCTGTCCTGCCAGGTCTGCTGGTGGCCAGCGTTATTGCAGCGTTATTTTCTTGATGAAGCATCTGCTGCTGCTGTGCTACAGGGCACAACTCCAGCTAGACAGAGGTTTGTGCTTTTGCCTTTCAAGCAGAGAACTAAATCTTCAGTTGCAGCCAGTTAGTTCCCTTAGTTGTCTCTCCACTAGGAGGGGTGTTTATGAGGCTTTTAAAGTCAGATCTGTGTAGCAGGAGTGTCACCCTCTGGGTGGGTTCCGGGTATCCTCAGAACACAGGTGAGGGGCACACGGTTTTCTTTTCTCCTTTAAATGCTCCTATCTGGAGTAGCTGCTTTGGGAAGTAGAGACCTGAACACCGCAACCTTAATTTTTCATGAAATTAGTATTTGAGTTCTTCCTCAGCAAGTTCTCCTCAGCGAGATGGGGGAGGGGAACTTTCCATTCCCTCCCCAGCCAGCTTCCTTGAGCATTTGGAGAACAGCTCCTTGGCCAACACATTTCATGTCAGTTTCTGATAAATACACAGTAAGAAAAAAAAAAAAAGTATGCTCGTGACCCTCGAGTCCCCAGCTCTGGCAGACAGCGTGGACAGCTTGTCTCAGTGTGTCTTTTTGAGCAAGTGCCCAGATGGTTTATGGGGACAGTGACTCCTCTTAATCCCAACATGATGCTATTAGGAGACCTTCCATGTTCCCCCACAGAGCACCCCTTGTTTCAAGTGACCTGTCTGGGAGGACGGCTTCTCCAGACAGCCATTCCTTCCTGGTGGCCAATCAGCTGAAGAGGAGTAGGAAAATATTGTTTAAACCACACAGCATTGCAACCCCAAAGCATTGCCTACCCAGAACCCTCTGCCCCCAGCATTGCCTGCCATATAGCTTCCCACCCAAGACCTTAGGCACAATCTTCAGTGCTATTTTAAGAACAAAGCTTCACGGTGATAATCGGGGCCACTGTATGGAGAGAAATGTGTGACGGGGGAATTTTTACAAATTATATGTATTTAAAATTTTTTAAATAATTTTAAAAATTATTTTGTATTGGGACTTCATGTATGTCTGGTACATCTGTGCATCATGTGTCCTGTGAAGTAGGAAGAAAGGCAAGACCCCCTGGAACTTGAGTTACACATGAGTGGTTGTGAGACTCTGTGGGTGCTGGGAACCCAGCCTGGGTCCTTTGCGAGCACCCTTGG